TACGAGAGTCTACGGCCGGAAGATCTTCGACCTGCTGAACGACCACGAGCGCCTCTTCGCCCGCGAGGACGCGGAGAAGGTGATTAACATCTGCGGCCTCAGCGAGCACCAGGTCGGGGATATTCAGCAGATTCTTGACGTAATCAAGACGGGCAGCGCCTACCGCGCGGCCGGGCAGACCAGCGCAAACAGCGAAAGCAGCCGCTCCCACGCGGTTTTGCAGATTGAGGTCCGCGAGCGGCCTGGACCGGGGGCGAACCACGGCCGCCGCGGGCCGAAAACCATCGGGAAGATCTCCTTTATTGACCTGGCTGGGAATGAGCGCGGGGCGGACACCTTCGACTGCGATCGCAAAACCCGAATGGAAGGGGCGGAGATCAACAAGTCGCTGCTCGCGCTCAAGGAGTGCATTCGAGCGCTCGGGATGGGGAAAAGCCACGTGCCCTTCCGCGGCTCCATCCTGACGGAGGTCCTGCGGGACTCCTTTACGGGAAATAGCCGCACGACGATGATCGCGACCATCTCGCCAACGGCCCAGCATTGCGTGAATACCATCAACACAATGCGGTATACGCAGCGAGTCAAAGACCTCGGCGGCGGCGGGGGGAAGGTTGAGCAGGTCCCGATCATAGTCCCGTCCGGCGGCGGCGGGCGTCGGGTCAAACGAAAGCCCTTCGAGGCCGCCCCGCCGATTCGAAATCGGCCGGAGTGGGTTAGCGACTTCGCCCCGCCAGATTCGAACGCGGAGATGGTCAGCAATAATAATAATCTAAACAACGGAATGGCGGAGGTAGAACCCCCTCAGCAGGTCACCCTGGCGGGAGGGGCGGCCGTGCGGTCGCCCGCGGGCCGCCAATGGCGGGCGTCGAACGCGAACAACATCAATAATAATGCGCGGGAGGATCACCATCGTGGGGGCCGAGGGGCGGTGCGGATTCGCGTGAAGGATCCGAAGATCGCGACGATAGTGCAAAACCATATCGTGGCGCTCGAACAGGCCTACGACGACGATGACGACGAGGAGGAGGAGGAAGTTGGGAATAACGCGAGTAGTAATACCCACCACGAGGGCGGTGAGATTCACAGAAACGCCGGAAACGTAAACGGCGGCGCGGCGCTGCGGAAGGATGAGGAATGGCAGGTGCGAAAGGTCCACGCCCACGTCGTGGAGGAAATCGGCAAGGCGGAGGAAAAGCTCGTCGCGCTCCACCGCCGCCATATCGACTCCAAGATGACTGGGATTAAGGATGAGATACGCGCTATTCAGTCCTTTGAGGAGTCCGATTCAGTCGACGAATACGTCAACAAGGTGCGGAATCTTTTGGAAAAGCAAAAGGCAGATATGGATCAGATAGTCAAGATGCTCATCTCTATTAGTGATATGCTAAAAGATGAAGAAGATCTATCAAAAACATTGAATTCGACAAATAAGACACGTTAACCCTTAACTTACGCTTTCTTTTTTTTCTCCAAATTCAGAGAAGGAAGACGAAAAGCCACGGAAGGAGAATGGTCAAAGATGGTGCTAATTACTGTTGTATGGAGGTCTGAGGTTTTGGATTGATGTATATATGCATGCATGCTTCATGGCAAGATGCTCCTTCCTATTTTTTTTGTTCCTTAACGAGCTTTCTCAGGAAAAGTATCACCAACTAAAACCCCATACTAATCTAAATATATAGAAAAAAGTGGTATGCTTTAATATTCCTAACCTCGTTAACTTCTAAGGGTTTTTTTTGAAGTGTGTTTCACTGGAAATCAGATTGTATCACAATTTCCTATCGTTGTTATTAGTATTTGAGATGTATAAAAGGGAGTTAGTGTTCAACAAATATTCATATACAGATCCGACAGATTATTTCACACACCGATTTTGATCATGAAACTATCTTCATACTTAAGATTATTTCCTTTAATGAAGTTGGGAAACATTTTTTTTTGGGGTGTGGTGACCTTAAAAAAAATTGCGTTATACTCTTTTTTTGCTGTTTTACGTTAAAATCACAATATTAATTGAAAAGGAGTCATTAATAAAAATGGTGTTGTGGAATTTAATGCGGTTGCGTTTACGCAGAGGAGAAGTGTAATCTATCAGTATTGTGGCTAATGAATAGTCTCTACTACACGCTTTCAGATCCAAGATTGGGTTTTCCCTCCTTATTCTCATGTTTTCGCATTGATTACACCAGCCTAAAGCTGCTTGAGGCCTTTCCCGGTACACTTTTCACGATATTTCTCTAATTTCTTGATTAAATCGGAAGGAAAAATGGAAAAGGGCTACCTTTGTTCAAAATGACCTTAGATCTTGTTACATATGGATGCCTCTTATGGTAGGACGCAAAGTCTAAGAGGCTAATCCATGCAACTTATCTTATTCCTTTTTCCTGCCTCATTTTCAAGAGATTATTTATGTTCTAAAGTAGAGAGTATATATCTTCATGTATATTTTCTAAATATAAATATTTAGAAAATATACATATAAAAGGGTAAAGCTACTTTTTATTTCAATATATATATAAATATATCACTATATACTTATATATATCTATTTATATATATATATATATATATAGATAGATAGATTTGTATACCAGAGTCTTGGAACAATTCCTTTAATTTCTTCTTCAAATCCAACACGGCAGAACGTTTATGCATAATCGTCAACTCCTCAAAGGTTGACTGGTTTTTAGAACTATTCTTCAGCCCACCCCAATGGTTTTTCCTTGCTGCAGCTGCAAAGGGGATCCTATCATTCAGAAGCGATCCACAGAGTTTAATAATCTTTCCGATTTAAGGCTTCGACGGAGCCACCCGCCGAAGCTTTTGCGTGAAGAGACCACAGTGGCTGTCACCTTAAATGTCTACAGTCTGACGGATAAAAACGTGCATTTTTGGCGTTTTGGATTAGGCATTTTTCACTGCGGGGTTGTCATTTACGGGATTGAATGGAGCTACGGCGAGGTCTCAGACAACCCGAACGCGTCCGGGTTGTTTTGCGTCCACCCCGGCATGGCGGCCGGGGCCCTCCACAAGACTTTTACGCTCGGCCGCACGCAGAAATCCCCCATGCAGGTCGATACCATCCTGCATCGCTTGGAGAACGAATGGCGGAGCTGCGATTACCACATTCTTCATCACAATTGCAATCATTTTGCGCAAAGACTGTGTGATCTCCTGTCAACCTCAGAGAAGCTCAAGATTCCAGCGTGGTGTAATCGTATCGCGCGAATTACCGATAAAGTCGTCCCGAGAAAACTTGCCAAGCGAATTCAACGCATGTTTAGTGAGGATACTTTACAGGTGCCAAAATCGGTTCAAAGGGGTTGTATTAGCGAAATCCCTGTTTCCGTGATTCCAAAAGGGTGGTATCTTCACCCATCCATTAAACAGCCCCCTCGTTACGCTTTTCAAGCCCCCCCAGCGATTCCCAGGGACGATTTCGAGGTCTTTCACGCGCACGATCAATCTTTTTTCACCCCGTTTAGCCCCCAACAAACGGCGTGCCGGGCTCTTCCGAGGATCACTTCGGAAAAAAAAAATGGCGCCCGTCAGGCGGAGAAGATGATAAAAATCAAAGAGGTGGTTATCCGAATGGAGTCCTTCTGCTCTGTTTCAAGGTTGGACCCGTGCGAGGAGACCACTGTGAGGGATTCTCTCATGCTAACGGTGCCCGCACCTGCCATCTCACGGCTCTTTCTCGAAAATGCAGACCTCAACGACGAAAAGGACAATAAAGAAAAGGACGATATTGGACTTCCGAAAGTCTTAGAACTAAAACCTTCCGAGGAGGGCTTGTCGCGTGAGTCCCGCACCCCTTCTTTGTATCAAGAAAAAGGGAGCCCGTTGGAGATGGACGGTCGATCCAAAGTTAGCTCCTTAGATCCTCCTATAATCTCCGAAAAGGTCTCCACCCAATTATGGGGCTCCATCTCGAATTTTAAGGAAGACAGTAGCTCCCGAAAAGTGCTCTGTAGAGCATTTTCCGCGCCTCCTTCCACTATGCGCGGAATAAAAGACGAAGAGGGAGAAATCCTAATGAGAAAAAATAAGGAGCGAAGTCCGCAGCGTTTGATCAGATCATTCTCGTTATAACACCTGCCTGAATACCCTGAATGATCACGAATGGCCTCTACGACATCCTACTCACATTTTAACCCCACAAAAGTAAAATAAATCTTCGAGGTCGGGACGGGCAAGGTAGAATTCAACCGTACGCAAGCTCACAGGGGGCGATTTATACTTCATCCCCGATGGAATAGGTGTTTAATCTTCTCTCGATGGAATCGTCTTGGAAATATACGAAAATGCGCGAAAGCGCCGTGCGGTCTGAACTTTTGAAGAATATCTTTCCTTTAAGGCTGCGTTCGCGCGGTGAGAAATGGATTTTGAACAATAAGATGAGTGTTGTGGATAGGGAGATTGGCATGAGCGCTTACTCGGATCTAAATCTGCGCAAATCTGGCCTTTATCCGGTGAGCGTGAAAGAAGCTTATCTCAAGGGATACTTCACTCGAGTCTCATTGATGAGATGCTAAGTTTTTTTGCTCTTTCTTAAAGATAGTAATGGAGAAAGAAGGGTGATTCAGCTTTCAAAAATTGTAGTTAATTTAGAGCAAAGATGACATTAATTTACAAAGTATGTGTGTGTATATTGAGAAGGGGAGGGTGAGTGTTCTGAGCTTTTTCCTTCTTAATATTTAGTACGGACGATACTGTATTTAATCATATGGTAGACTAGACCCCAGTGGCTAAGCATCGTTAGGATCTTCTAACAGTTTGACAATACCTTTTTTATATATTAATAAACCTCTATAAAGGCCTCCGTTTACTGTTCCTTCAGAAAGGGAATATTAACACATTCATAAAGGTTACTGTTACTGCCTTAGACCTATATCACCCTGGAGGTAGCATATAAAGTAAGCCTTCGCTCTTTTTTTTCCCATTACTATTATTTTGACAATTTCTACAACTCTGACATCGTTGGCAGATCTAATTTATTGATACTTACTTGTTTCGTGTTTTATGAAAACGACGCAAGCTGAGGGTTAAAAACTGTGCAAGTCTTATTGCTGCATTTTCCATCCAGATATTGAAGGGTGATTTGCTTTTATTTTGCCTTTTAAAATGACTTTTTGTCCAAAGTGATTGCTTCTGTGCTTTGTGGTACTTTAAATGTAGAATATGTTCACGTTTATTATATTTTAGATATTCCTTCCTCTATTTGATAAAAATAAGGAAGGTATGAAAAGCGGCGCAGTGGTTCTCTTTGCCGCGCTGTATTTATCTCTGATAAAAATCGGAGGCATTTTACTCCACTTTGAAAGTTTTTTCAAATGGAAGATCGAAATTAATAGTGTTTTTTATACTCGACATTCTCATGTACCTTTTTTAAAAGAGAGGAACAATAAATCTATTGAACTTTATCAGTTTTTCACTTTTCTTTTTCTTTACACACACTGTAAAGGAAGTAGGAGCCTATAAAAGAAAGTGTCTTCATTATTACGAAACAAAATATTGTTAGACTGAAATAGTAATTCCATCTCCATTCCGAAGTTATAAATTTGGATATTTTCACGGGTATTTTTTGTCGAATAGTTTTTATTTCCATCAAATTGACCACGTTTCACTATTAACATTATAATTTATGTTAGCTTTTCATTTTCATCTTTTTATATCCATATGCTTGTGAAGAGGCAAAAAAAAGGTCGCTGAGAAAGAATTATATCCATAGGAACCACAATATATTATAAATAGAAATAACGTTTGTAGAAAATGGCAGAAAATAATGGCCATCCTCTCCCAAGTCTGAGTTTCCCATACGATTCTTCAAACGTTTTGCTAGGCAAAGGTGGAAGTGGTGCCGTATTTCTTGCCAAACACCACGAAACCATGGAGTTGATAGCCGTTAAAAGATGCTATAGACGGAATACGCATACAAAAAACTCCACATCTAATGCAAAACAACTCACAATGCCACTGATTACCAACTTTGATAAGTCACCATGTAAGTACAGTACAAAGTCGAGTTCTTTTGGGATAGGTCAACGCTGTTTGGGGCGCAATGCGATCGAGAATGAGGAGGATATGCGTGAGGAAAGCAACATTGAGGCTTTAACACTCTCTCAGCAGGGGGAATCCTCCTCGCACTGCGTAAATACACAACAAAGTGATCATGATAAACCCCCTGCTGGAGGAGCAGGTGGAGGAGGTGCAAAGATGGGAGTGGAAGTCAATGAGGTAGTGATTTTTGAATCTCTGAGCCCACACCCTCACATTGTTCGCTACCTTGGTAAGCATACTTCCTCTCGCAACGTAACGTTTTTCGCCATGGAGCTGATGAATAGCGATATAGCGCGAGAGGTTAGCCAAGGAAGCCTCGCTTTCATGCGGGAGGATGTCTGCACCGTCCTTATTTTCTCCATCCTGCTGGCGCTCCAGCATCTCCACAGTAATGGGATCGTCCATCGTGATGTAAAGCCTGGAAACATCCTGCTCAAGCGCTCTTCTGCGAATAAAAGTCTAAACTCTCTTCGTATTCCTCTCGGCAGCGTCTCTCTGAATGGGGAGGCTGAGGAGCAGGAGTTAAATGACAAATTATCGTGGGTGAGGGCCACCTTGGGTGACTTCAGCGCGGCCCACTTTAGGGCGCAAACCGACGTCGTCCCGGATGTTCTTGCAGGCCGCGGCACACTCCACTACAAGGCCCCAGAGCAGCTTATTGGAAAAGCAATTGACTCCTTCTCAGCGTGCGATATGTGGGCTCTGGGCTGCACGATGTTTGAGCTCTACACCGGCAAGGTGGCCTTTCCCGGTAACAGCGGGCTGCAGGTTCAGCTGCAGATATTCAAGCAATTGGGCAGCAGCTTTTTAGATTTTCCTACTCAAGATCCAAACTCCATGTTGTTTGATAACATTCACGCCTCATCTGCTTTTGTGGATCTCCTCAAACACCTCCTGGTTCTTGATCCAGCGCGACGATATTCCTCCCAGGAGGCGCTTAAACACTCACTTTTCGATCAAATTCACGCCTTTCGAAAACATAAGGGAATCCCCAATCCGACAAAAGAGGCTATTTTTATATCCTTTCCACTAAGACTCTTGTATTCCCAGCTTCCTGATGTTAACATGCTCAAGGTACGCTTTCGGCCTGTTGCGTGGACGCCGCTCAAACGGCAACGCGCCAAGGTCGACTTTACGATGGAGCAATCGCCGCCGAAAATTCAAGTGCCTATCAATTCAACCCCTATAAGAGAGTCTGCCTGGAAGAATCAATCGTGGGAAGTGGCTTCGAGTATTAGCGATGCGAACAGCGTACACTGGAGTCAAGTCCGGATGCACGTGAATCCTTCACCCGTGGTGTCTACCGAAGCCAAACATGAAGAAACCTGCGCGAACGGATCGCCGGAGGTGTATTTCCGGATCTCTGTTGAGGCTTCCGGTGCCCGTGAAGAGAGCAATCGAGTATCGAGATGCCTCTCAATGCTCAACAAATCTCTCAGGTCATCTTCTCAGGAGAGGGGACCTGTGCGTGTTGAAGGGCAATACGCCGAGGCCCTACAAAACATCTCCTTCGAAACAACGCCCCTGCCTTTTTCCTTAGATGTACCAAACAGGCAGCTGCGGCGAAGGGGTATGATGATGACCATCGGAACTTCACTTATCGCTGGGAACCAACGTGCAGCCCAAGAGTTTGAGCTCATCACGCGACAAGGCTACTCTTCGCTTTGCAGGATCAGCGCTGACGCCTCCGCCGCCCATCTTCCCAGGTTTTCGATGAGCTCTAGCCTCCACCATAATACCTCATTGGAGAAGCTGCGTAGCCCTTCCCTTGCGCCCCCATACCCCGGGCGATTTACCGCCTCCCCGAGCCGCTCTCCAGAACCGAATGCACGCAAGGCGCTCTGCTTCGAGTCCCCACGCCTCGCCTCGGAGTCCGCAGAGCCGGCGCGCGAGAGTGGGGAGGGGAGGGGCCTCGCCTCGGCCCTCTCCGTCGCGCTCCTGCACTCCCCG